ATGGTATGTATGTATGGTATGTATGTATGGTATGTATGTATGGTATGTATGTATGGTATGTATGTATGGTATGTATGTATGGTATGTATGTATGGTATGTATGTATGGTATGTATGTATGGTATGTATGTATGGTATGTATGTATGGAATGTATGTATGGTATGTATGTATGGTATGTATGTATGGTATGTATGTATGGTATGTATGTATGGTATGTATGTATGGTATGTATGTATGGTATGTATGTAATGGTATGTATGTAATGGTATGTATGTAATGGTATGTATGTAATGGTATGTATGTAGTGGTATGTATGTAATGGTATGTATGTAATGGTATGTATGTAATGGTATGTATGTAATGGTATGTATGTAATGGTATGTATGTAATGGTATGTATGTAATGGTATGTATGTAATGGTATGTATGTAATGGTATGTATGTAATGGTATGTATGTATTGGTATGTATGTATTGGTATGTATGTATTGGTATGTATGTATTGGTATGTATGTATGGTATGTATGTATGGTATGTATGTATGTATGTATGTATGTATGTATGTATTGGTATGTATGTATGTATGTATGTATGTATGTATGTATGGTATGTATGTATGTATGTATGTATGTATGTATGTATGTATGTATGTATGTATGTATGTATGTATGTATGTATGTATGTATGTATGTATGTATGTATGTATGTATGTATGTATGTATGTATGTATGTATGTATGTATGTATGTATGTTTATATATATATATATACGCGCAACGCCTGGGCTTTGCCCAGGCGTTGCAGCGTAGAGGTTTCCCACTCCCAAACAAATGATGATGATGCAACTTCACAAATTCCTATGGGAAAAACAACAAAGGTACCAGGGAATATTAAACTCCCACCCCCGTTAAACCTTAAATTCCTATCGGAAAAAACAAAGGTACTAGGGAATATTAAACTCCCACCCCAGTTAAACTTTACATTCAATTGGGAAGATCAACAAAGGTACTCGGGAATGTTAAACTCCCGCCCCCCTTAAACCTTAAATCGGAATTAAAAAAATAACAAAGGTACTAGGGAATATTAAACTCCCACCTCCGTTAAGCTTCTACATTCATTGAAGATCTTCAATAAGGGTTTAATTCTCCCACCCCCGTTAAACTTCTAGATTCATTGAGGGTCTTCAATAAGGGTCTGATTCTCCCACCCCCGTTAAACTTCTACATTCATTGAAGATCTTCAATAAGGGTTTAATTCTCCCACCCCCGTTAAACTTCTACATTCATTGAAGATCTTCAATAAGGGTTTAATTCTCCCACCACCGGTAATTTTCTACATTCGTTGAAGATCTTCAATATGGGTTTAATTCTCCCACCCCCTTTCAACTTCTACATTCATTGAAAATCTTCAATAAGGGTTTAATTTTCCCACCCCCGTTAAATTTCTACATTCATTGAAGATCTTCAATGAGGGTTTAATTCTCCCACCCACGTTAAACTTCTACATTCATTGAAGATCTTCAATGAGGGTTTAATTTTCCCACCCCCGTTAAACTTCTACATTCATTGAAGATCTTCAATGAGGGTTTAATTTTCCCACCCCCGTTAAACTTCTACATTCATTGAAGATCCTCAATAAGGGTTTAGTTCTCCCACCCCCGTTAAACTTCTTCATTCATTGAAGATCTTCAATATGGGTTTAATTCTCCCACCCGCGTTAAACTTCTACATTCATTGAAGATCTTCAATAAGGGTTTGCTGCTGCTGCTGCTGATGATGATGATGATGCGTCGCCTGTCGTCATGGCGGGTCCGGGCAAAGCCCAGGCATTTGCCGATATACATATACGCGCAGATATATGTATATATATATATTTATATATTGAGCATCTGTAGCTTTGTACGTACTAGTGCCTGGTTGAAAAACAGAGAAGGACATTTGCATGCCAAATTCGTCTGGTCCAGGCCGTCAGCAAGTCCCAACACGTGCGGCGAACAAAGTCTAATCTTTTACGATCTTTGCATATCTACAGTATTGTGTATCTATTGCATATCAATTAAACTGCATATGTTTGCCGCCATTTTGGTTCCATGAAAAAATAGAATCCATTGATGCATCGGGGTGGCTGAGATGATCAGCAGCTTATACAAGTATATTGCACTTAGTGCAATCATAGCTTCAGCACTGACTACACGTGGCTATGACAGTCTAAGACGAGAAGCAACAGTCCGGTGACGAACGGCCATGGTCTTCTGTGGTGACCGGAGCCTCCTAGATCTAGGCTCGCCTGGAACGTATGGTTTCATTATCACCACGTAGTAGCAATCAAAGGTACTGTATGACAGCGAGATGCAACATGTTGATTCATGATCATGGCTAGTAAGCTGTGCTCCAAGGCAGGAGCATCTGTTGTGAGTAATGAACTCTTCCGTTTGGATCCCTTTGGAAGGTTGCTGTGCTGGCTTGAGTGCATTTTCTTGGGTCAAGGGTCGGTCGAGCTCTTACTGCAGAGCTTGAAACTGTCCAAGCTGTGAAGCTGAATGAAGTACACACAGACGAACAGAATCGAACAGAATCGAACAGAACCGAACAGAATCGAACAGAATCGAACAGAATCGAACAGAATCGAACAGAATCGAACAGAATCGAACAGAATCAAGCAAGACAGAGATAGAAGATTGCACATTGAGGTCAGCCTAAACCAGGGAACCTGGAAATGGGATTGTAGCTTTGTCGCAAGAGTGCTTTTTGAGTGCTTTAAGCTGGATAACTCATTCAAGTAACGCAAGTATCCCACCCATCATACAGCACTGGGCAGAAAAATACATGCCCCTGCAATCAGCTGTCTCTTGACAAAGTTGAGAAGTTCATTTGCTAAGCTGCTACAGCTCTGGACGAGGTTCGCCCTCCTCGAGAAATGCCTACAGGCTGGATACTGATACCATCGTGATTGTGAACTAGCAAGATATTGAGACCTCTTTCTTTTTTCGAGCTTACTTCGGGCTTTACATTGCAAGGTGCAACCGGATTTAGTTGTTGTACCACACAACATGTTGCGCTCTGCCTTGCGCTTGCTACAAGAACCAATGAAGCCAATGAGGCCCGGAAGGCTTCACAATCAAGAAGCCTGAGAAGCAAGAGCTTGAAAAAAAGGCCAGGAGCAAGAATTCATGACAAGACCATGTGTCACCAGCTTTTCCAGCTTCTACTTCAAGGGAAATCTATGGGCTGCTATTGAAACGCCCCCCCGGTATGCAAAATTGCATCACACACAACGTTTGTAATTATGCAACACAGCGTATATGTATGTCTACTCTCCTGAAAACCAACGTGGGGCAAAAAAAAAGGGTTCCATGTTAGCACACGCATGTTAAAATTCATGAGCAGGATAAGTGCCATGTTGGTGTTGGCATGTGCTGGTGAATTTTGATATTTTCGGGCACTTTTTGGTGCTACTTGTCATATTAACATAGAACCCCACAAGCTGCCATTTAGTGCTCAACCAACAGTTCCATGTAGCCGCCATTTCTCGTTGTGGCCTTCCCGCTGTAAACCTGTATCCCCAGACTAAAAAAAAAATGTATAATTTAATTAATATCCTGCCCCATTTGATTTGACATTTTCTCTGAGAAATATGTTGACATTCTATCATTCTATGTGACATCTTCTGTAGCATAACAACATGCATATAAAATAAACACATTGAAGCACATATTCAAATTTCAAAATACACATATCAAAAAGTCAAGAGCTCATATAATATCAATTTTTAATTTTGAAAATGTTGCACAAATACCTTTTTCCTATTTCCCCACCATAAACATGCCATTTGTTATTTCCTCGGTGTGGCTTTCCCGTTGCAGAAGTTCATTGTAGCATTCCCCGATTACCCCGTCGTGTTTCAGGTGGTGCAGGCGGACCTTCCCCCGTTGGGTCGATGTCCTCGAGCCGTTGTGTCTCCCCCCGGTGGCTCCCCGTTGTGTCTCCCGCTGTATCCGCCTGGAACCCAACGTGGAACCCGTTGTCCCCGTGGCTTTGGCGCCCGGAGGTCCTCCCACCGGTCTGAAATGAGACATGATAAGAATATACCATGTAAAGCGTGAGAAACATTAAAAAAACAACAGAAAATGATACAGACGATAAGATTCTTATCGTCTGTATTTCCTTTTTGTATATATGTACATTGAATAGATTTTTCAAAAATAATCCCATGGTAAGTTTCTCTTGCAAAACATTTAGTTGCATTTAGGCCGAGCCCCCCCGAAACAAACCAACCTGGAACCCAACTTGGAACCTAAATGGGCACCCCTTGGACCTGGTAGGTGAACATTTATCTCAACACAGTGTGGTATGTTTGCAAACCAGCCTGGAACCCAACTTGGAACCTAAATGGGCACCCCTTGGACCTGATAGGTAAAAAAAAATATCTTAACACACTGTGGTATGTTTGCAGAGGCCGAGCCCCCCCGAAACAAACCAACCTGGAACCCAACTTGGAACCTAAATGGGCACCCTTTGGACCTGGTAGGTTAAAAAGTTTAGTGCTCAACCAACAGTTCCAGTAAAGCCATCCAGTTCCCAGAGTCATCAGCCATTCAGCTACCGGAGACATAGAAAACTTTCAACTGATTTTCCACAATTTGTTGGGTGCCATGTTTAACTGGTATTGCGATGGCTCCACCATGCTCCACCCAAGTTCAAAGCATGATACCGTGAGCGAAATGCGAAGTGAAAAGTAGGGTCGCCCGAAAGTCACTAACATGGAATTTTCAATGAGAACGCCTCAAAAACCACCTGGGTTCCAGCTTAACCTTCAAATCACCCTTCAAGGTTGAAGATCGCTTTGTGATAACTTGATCAAACTCCATGTTGGCTGTTTCAGGGTGCAGTTTGGGTTCAGTTTGGGCCTGCATTGGGTTCCATGTCAGTTTTTGAGTGATTTTTTAAAAGTTAGTTGCATGATTTCCTGGGGAAAAAACCACTTGAGACCGTACCATAGGTTTATGTTAGGAGACTTCAGGAATAGCATGCAGCTCTATGTTATTATGTGTGTATATGCATGTATATGTATTATGTGTGTATATGCATGTATATGTATGCATATGCATCCCCAAGGGGCCCAACTTGGCGAATCTTGGGCCCAACCGGAGCCCAAGTTGGCGCCAAATAGTCATGTTGGGCTGAAGTTGGGCCCAGAGCGATTCAGATGGACCCCCAAATTGATGCACATGGAAGTCCAAGTCGTGTCCAAAGTGGCGCAACTTGGGACCCTTTGGCAACAGCTTCACACCAAATTGGGAACGTTGCTTCAAACGAAGCGTGCGTTTTGAGGATTTCGGATTGGACCGGCAATGTGCCTCATTTTGAAACCATATGGGCTTCAACTTGGGCCGAAGTTGCTCCCAAATGGGACCACACGTGGGTCCAAGTTGGGCCGAAGTTGGGGCCTTGCTGCCGAAGTTGACCCTAAGTCGGGCCAGTGTTGCGGCCATGTCGGATCGAAACTGCACTTGGGCGACTTTGGGCCGATCTGCGAACTGTGCAAATTACCACAGCCCCGTGCACTTTTTGGCGCCCTGCTCCCACCTGAAGCTGCACCAGTCTGACAGATCTGTCCGTATCACTCCCTGCTAAGCTACCACGCCTCGGCACCTTCGGCGCGGGCGGACTTGAACATACAGTATGTCATGTACAAACAAAGGTTTGTTTTGAAGTAGCAGATATCAAGACGACAGGGGTATTTGGCTAAGACACTTCAATGTCACACTGGGAGGAAGCGAACAGGCGAATAGAATGTACCCCCAGTCCCAATAGCCAAGTTCCTGCTCTGCTGGAAGGGTTACAAACAACATCGAACTTTTTGGGACCTCACTCAGTCTTGAGTTTGTTTTTGTGCGTCTGCAAGAATTCTGAGTTTAGGTGACGTGCATTCTGGAGCCGCATCTGGTGTCCCTGCAGGCGAGCAAACGTATCATTTTTCATGAGCCTCTCGTGTGCATGCATTTAAAAACATGCTTTGCATACGTCGTACTTGTTGGAAACATTGTTGTGTTAGAATATGTGTTCTATGATCTCCCTTTGAGAGATCTGGATTACAGGACTCCATCAGTTGGTCAGATTGAAAAAATTTGGCAGGTGCCAAGAGGTCTCGACAGGTTAGCCACAGACCCAATGCCTTGATCGAGCTTTAACCCAGAATCCAGGCGACCTTGACTGATGAGCTGGAGGGAGCTATGCAACGCCTCCTCAAGGCCCCATGACATAATAATGACACAATCACTTTCCACAGATTTCTACAGGTTTCCAAATGTTTCTACAGGCTTGACCTATCTTGAGATGGTTTGATTGATCAAGGCCCCGCAGTACTGCAACAATTGTGACGCATGATAACTGGACCACCCTAGATGATTGGAGCGTGATGGGGCGTCCTGAGATTCCAAGGGTACAGTAGATTTCCTTTTTCGATTTCTTTTCCCGCAATTTCCTTCGGAATCCCCTTGGTTTGCGCAGAGTGGTTGACTTTCTGTTTTTTCCCCAACAGTGTGGTTCGGGGATGGTTCTAAAGATTTTCGTGCGGGTTCGGTAGTGGTTCTGGGTGGTTCCAGGCGGTTTCCATATCACATCCTGTGGCAACACAGTGACACAGTGAATGGCTCACCTTGCGAAGAAAAGTCACTACTCCAAAGGAAAGAAACAAAACATAGTGTCTTCAGAGACTTTCTTCATCCAGGGTTTTGGTGTGGGTTCTGGTGTGCTAGGGTTCAACCTACGCCCGTCGCCAAAGTTGAAACTTGATAGACATTCGCAAAATTCACAGGTTGGTGTCATGTTTTCCTACCACCTTTGCTGTTGGGGATACAACCTGGATTTATTGTTTTCGCAAAGCAGCGCCTTTCATACCATTTTTTTTCTCTGTGAGCCATTTCGCACTATTTGGCTCTTGAGAAACGGACTGGTTTGGGTTTGAGCTTTTGATGGGATAGGATTCTAATGAGAAACACATGAGTACATCATGAACCGTGAACCTTAATCGTTCACTTTTCAGGAGAAACTTTCCAGTCAAGCAATCCTGCAATTTTGGGGAGGCTCAGGGGCATGCGAGAAGCTCCAACACAAGGAAATGGAAGGCTGGACGCAGAATCTATTTGGCATGCTGTCCCTTCTGCTTGCCAAGTCCGTTCAACGTGCGTGAAGAATCAGTGTGATAGTTGATGTGTCACAGATTGTGTGAGTTTGAGAGGCAGTTTCTGGCAGAGATACGCTAGAAGTGCCGGACTCCCAGAACGCAAGTCCCTGCCCAAGACTCGAGACTCTCTCGACGCCCAGAAATTCGGCAAACTCTAGGACTACCCATAAACCATGAGAAAATCAAACTAGAGAATTACATATGTGTTGATTTGCGGGTCGCGGCACAGCGCGTGCATGCACAGGAAGTACAGTACTGCCTGTAGGCAATTAGAATTCCATTCGTATACAGGAAGTGTATGGAAGTGTAAAGGTGATTCAAAAAAATTGCTTATATGTTATATACACATAGATCACATAGGTATATAGTCCATACTACACCATCTACACCCCCAAACGTGTTACGACTAGTAACTCACATGTACGATCACCCAAAATTTCGAATTACAACTGAAGGAATCTCCTCCAGGTAAGAAGACAAGAGTCAGGCATCCACCAAGGATGCCCCCTATCACCATTCCTATTTGTACTTCTTGTGGGGGCCCTCTTTCAAGATCTCAAATCCAAACTCAGCATAACAAAGCAACTGGAACCCATTAAAGGCATACGATATGCAGAAGTCCTCTATGCAGATGATACTTTGATCTTTGGGACACATACCCAATCAATCAATAAATTTTTGCACGCAATACAGCGGGAATCCTCATACTACGATCTGAATTTGAATTATGACAAATGCATTGACCTTACACTCCACCAGAAACAATCTAGCGTCAAATATCTGGATGGAACGCTCGTCCCCCGAAAACATGAAGCAATATATTTGGGAACACTGCTTTCAGATAGTGCAAATATCAACGGGAAGTGCTTAACAGATTGGCAGCGGCAATGGCGACATGTAATAGGTTGAAAGTGTTTCGGGACAAAGCTCGTACCACCATCAAGATCATCAAGTGGAAAATCTGTGTTTTTGATTCAATCTTGAAAAGCAAAGTATTGCATGGACTCGAATGTATAGAACTCACAACTCGAGGTTCGATCGCCAAAAACTGCGGTGAAATTGCGATTTCCTGTGTGTAAAAGTGTCTGTGTGTAAAAGCGTCTGTGTGTAAAAGCGTCTGTGTGTAAAAGCGTCTGGGTGTAAAAGTGTTAGTGTGTAAAAGCTTCTGTGTGTAAAAGCTTTTGTGTGCAAAAGTGTCTGCGTGTCAAAGTGTTTGTGTGTAAAAGCGTTTGTGTGTAAAAGCGTCTGTGTGTAAAAGCATCTGTGTGTGAAAGCGTCTGTGTGTAAAAGCGTCTGTGTGTAAAAGTGATTGTGTGTAAAAGCGCTTGTGTGTAAAACCGTCTGTGCGTAAAAGCGTCTGTGTGTAAAAGTGTTTCTGTGTAAAAGTGTTTGTGTGTAAAACCGTCTGTATGTAAAAGCGTCTGTGTGTAAAAGCTTCTGTGTGTAAAAGCGTCTGCGTGTAAAAGCTTCTGTGTGTAAAAGCGTCTGTGTGTAAAAGTGTTTGTGTGTAAAAGTGTTTGTGTGTAAAAGTGTCTGTGTGTAAAAGTGTCTGTGTGTAAAAGCGTCTGTGTGTAAAAGCTTTTGTGTGTAAAAACGTCTGCGTGTAAAAACGTTTGTGTGTAAAAGATCCTGTGTGTAAAAGGGTCTGAGTGTAAAAGTGTCTGTGTGTAAAAACTTCTGTGTGTAAAAACGCCTGTGTGTAAATGCGTCTATGTGTAAAAGCGTCTGTGTGTAAAAACTTCTGTGTGTAAAAACTTCTGTGGCTAAAAACTTTTGTGTGTAAAAGTGTTTGTGTGTAAAAGCGTCTGTGTGTAAAAGCGTCCGTGTGTACAAGCGTCTGTTTGTAAAAGCGTCTGTGTGTGAAAGTGCCTGTATGTAAAAGCTTCTGTGTGTGAAAACTTTTGTGTGTAAAAACTTCTGTGTGTAAAAACTTCTGTGTGTAAAAGTGTTTGCGATGCAAACTATTGTCTTGTACTTGTGCTATATTGTCTTGATACTCCTCTTCTCGTATGCCTATACCACATCTTTAATATATTGTTTTGTAATATGGTCTCTCCATACTAACAAGAGAAGACCCTGCTCCTCTACGCTCTCGGGCCATCCGTCGTCTAGTTGATCTTTTATTTGCTGAGACAATGGTTCCTGGTTCTGCTGCGCTCAATACATATTTTCTTTCCGTTCCCCTCAACTTCATACAAAATGACTACGTGAAGGCGGGTGCTGGCTATGTGAAAGGCGTTGAAAATTTCAAAGATCTTTTCACACGTTCTTAATTCATTTCTCCTCAGGCGATTACCTCCCTACTTTTGATCATATTTTTTCACAATTTCCAGGGCTTAGGTTCTGTGCACAGACCTCCGCAGTCTGCACGGTAAAAAACAAGTCTATACTATCATGTAGAACCCGCATAATGGCATACGCAGCTGTTGTCACGTTTATGAATACTACATGATACTAGAAAGGCTTTGTGAAGGGGAAGGATATAGGGGGGAGCGAGAGGCAGGATGCTTCTGTACCAAGCAGAGGCCATGGTTCCTTGTGTAATGCCAATGACTGCACCTGCATCGCTTCAAACAGGAGTTTCAAACGAAAGGATTGCTATCATGATACATGCAAAACCCTGGCACTACCATTGCACAGCACAGCGGAACCCAATGATTGTATTAGAAGGCGTTGTACATGTACAGCAAAGCACCACCACGTAGCACCGCCTTGCTGCAAAGTATGCCAATGATCAAGGCTTACACAGGTGCTCAACCAAGCAGATACTTGGATTTTGATGTAACGGTATCTTAGCTGAAAGGACAGGGTACTACGATTTCCATCAATTGTCTGCTTTGTCACAAAGCGTTTGCAATGTAGCGGTATACTATGCAAAACAGGAATCCTGGTATAGAGGAAGTCATGGGTGGAACCCTATGCTCAACAACAGACTCCCCAACATGCCGAAGTGTTTTCCTTTCTTCGAGGGCAGCAAATCAAAGCACATCTATAAAATGCCCACAAGTAAGACAAGTGAATGATGACTTAGGGTATCGAAGTGCAAAGACAGTGGTGGGTTTGAGAGCAGAGGAGAACCCTGCACCAGAGTGGCATAAATCAAAGCAGCATGCTATGCTGATGTACACGTAGCTGGCTATACACTTGTATTTGCACGACTATGTTTGTCTAATCCAGTCTCATCTAGTCCAGTCCCAGTCCCTTCCCACCCTGGAATTCATCTATCGTTATCGTTTACAACATTTCAAAAATAGATGCCACCGAAGATGTTTTATTGTTAGAGAAAGAGAGAAAGAGAGAAGAACTGGGAGATACTGTCACTTGCAAGGCCAGCCAACTTTGTCAGATCTACCTCAGCAGATCAAGCTCCTGGACAGGCTGGACAGGTTCACGATTTGTTCAAGTTGTGAACAGTTAAGACCTGGCCGGGCTTGGCCACGTGATGATTCAGAGCACCGGAATTGAGATAGGTCAAGTCTTTCAAACACCTTTGCTTGTCAGTCACCAGAGTCGCCAGAGCAGATGAGTCCATCCTGTTGAATTTCCCCGCAGACTGGCCAAGAAGCCGATCTTCCAAAGGATGAAGATCTGCCAATGGCGCGACGTACTTGCAAAAGGCGCTCCAGAAAGCTGAAGAAGAAATACAATAAACACAAATAAATCTATATAGATAAACAAATATTAAGCATAACTAGCAAAAGCTCAATGCAGTGCAGTCAGATGGTAGTCAGATGGTATATGGTAGCGGTGCCCACGCTGTCGGGCTTTCCATTTCCTGCTGAAGGCGCTGGACCACAGCTACGTGCAAGCCTCGTTTGAAGAACAGCTTCAGGATCAAATTAAGTCAAACTTATCAACCCTTTCGGGCATGTTTTTGGTGGCATCGCCCGTAAGAAAACGCCCGGCCTCTTAGAGGCGCTGGCACCATGTCTTTCAGAATGTTATTTCCCATTTTTCTTCCAAATTCAGTTTCTTCACGTTTCTTCAGGTTTCTTCTCACAAAATTCTGTCACAGCTGAGGGGAACCATAGGAGGAGCTCTCAGTACTGCTGCCGTTCTGCGGATCGGAGTTGCAGGATTGGCTCTGGATTGGCTCTCAGAGATTCTTGTTGAACTCTTGCAGTGTCTTGGAGTTCGGCATGGAAAACATGCGGACCCAGCCTTGACATCCACTTCTAAGGAGGGCGACACACCTGTAGCATCCACTGTTGCAAGTGCAGCGGCAAGTGCAGCTTCGGCGAGATTAGCTTGGCATGGAAGAAGACACGAGTGTAAGAACAGTGTTGGATGAAGACTTCGTTTATATGTGTCGGCAGTCAAGGTTTGCAAGCATGATTCAAACATTCTTTGCAAGGATGCATCTTGCCAAAATACAGTAATCTAGACTTTGGTGAAGTTGGTGAAGTTGGTGAAGCGTTGTTTGGTCTTGAGTCTTGAGTAGCCCTTCTTCCATGATACTTTGGTGCACCATGCCGCAAGAGCTGGCTGATTCAGACCATCACAGGAGGTGGCAAGCGAATGTTCCGAAATGTCAAGAAGGCCATCACTGAAGGACCGCATTCTGAGGCAAAGTGAGGCATTCAGTGAGGGAATGCACAAAGTGTCACAAAGTCTTGGAGGTTGCGCGCTCCGATTCTGTTCTGTGAGGATAACGATTCGAAGTCATCACGGAGCAAGCCGCGAATTACATTTGAAGGGTCGGCGACTCAGCAGTTTTCAGCGAAATCAATTGCCAGGAATGAACATCGACGATGAATAACCTTGATTGTTTTCGCGTATTCTAGAAATGTGCAGGAAGACAAGTCCAAAAAATCCATGCATGCGCCACAGATTTGCGATTTGATGCGTGAGGATGGAAGGGACAGCTGCTAATTGTGAGAGTGACGGGGAGGAAAACGAGGCATCGCAATGGCACCAAGATGCAGACAGTGGTGTTTGAGACACTGACCCGAAAATGACGCGAATCTCTTTCTTTCCTCAGTGCTTGACATTCAAATCATTCAATTGGTTGTCGTTTGATGGCAAATTTTTGAGTCTCGGAAATAGACTGGCACGCAGGATGCTAATCCGCGTATGGCACTGAGTCATCCCTACTGCGAATATTGGATTTCGGCACCGACATATCTAATTTATCTAATCAACAAACGCAGAAAGGCTTAATTTTGATTCTTTTGAAGCTTCATGACAAGGCAGTGACAAGGGCAGTGACACTTCATCCGTCGCGTGGACACATCCTTAGTTTGCAATGGGTGCACCCTGCAGGGGATTCGATTCCATTTGCTCTGAAATGAGTGTGTGTAGAGTTGTAGGTCTACTTGTACATGCCCATGTTATCCCATGTTATTCCTACAATTGCAGCTTACATTCACTGAATGCTTCCAGCATTTTCTCCGATGACTTCAGGCGAGCTGATGCATTGGATGTTGGGCAAAACTTGGCTGCAGAAGCTGCTGCGAAGAAGGAGTGCGCAATTGTATCAGATCAGATATAGACCGGCCAGATATATGAAAGATGTTTGCTAGATGTGTATGCGAGACGTATGTTGCATGAGCCACGGGTATTCTTCATACTAGATAGATACACAGTCGGTATTATTGTTATTGCTATGACTACTACGATGCCATCAAATTAGTACAGGGCATTTTAAGAGGATCCTCGCAGTGTGAGTGCTGCAGGTGCCAAAACATAAGCTGCGATGGTGTGAACTTTTCAGTCTTCATTTTGTTGGCATTTTGTGAATAGATACCGGAATAGTTTATTCATGTTTATTCATTTTCTTCACAATGAGATGGTATTTACATGTACTCCTATCAGTTCACACATTCATAACAAGGTAATACCATATTTTGCTACTCAGAGGGGCCCAGATAGACTGAAGTGTTTTGGAGAATGACAAATGATATTGCGGTGTCTATGGAGTCAGGGCACAACCTCCGTGGAGTCCATCGTGGCTTTGGTTCTTGGCTAAGATTGGCAGCTGAGGGCAAGGACAGTTCTTAAACCAAAGGTGCGTATGAAATTCTACGTGAAAGTCAAAAGGAAGAAGGACGTGCAGCGACTTTTCAAAATCTTCCAAGACCTTGTTACTTGTAGGTGCAGGTTGACCGAGAGCGCTGGGAAGAGGAGAAGCAGGCATCTTGTTAGGACCATGTCAGATCGCCGCAGCGATCGAATGATTACAAGAGGAAGCGTGTTCAAGTACCTCAAACATGACGTGAGCATGGTGGAATGTGTACAGATATCTACAGATACACAAATTTAATCAAATTTACATCTAAAAGGGAACGCCCACGCCGAAATGCAATGCCTTGCCAGCCAGTTCCGACGCCAATGATGCGAATGATTTGCCAGGCGCTGGAAGCACGGATAGAAGAGTTGAAGGCCAGACAACCCTTCAGCGGAGTTTCGCAAAGAGAGGGTGTGACATCATGGAACTAGATTAGATGGAGTTACATAGATGGAATTGGATGGAATTAGACGGAAATAGATGGATTTCAAACTCAATTGAAACGAAGCAACAAAGAGAGCGAGAAATTCTCTGCAGAGAGCCGAGTCGGTAGGCGCAGCAGCGCTCGTTGCAGGTATTGGCCCCAAGGATATTTTTCTGAGTTCAGCCAGCAAGAGTCAAAGATCCCTCTTGACAATGATAGAAACATGTAGTTATTCACTGTAAAAGAACTTGTTTGGTGGAACTGCTGTGGGTCTTCTGTTTGGCCATGTGTCCTTTGGACCTGGAGTGCAGAATGTGTCAGTTCCTTTCAATTCAGGCCACCAATCAGCCAGATGAAGAAAAAGAGGCATTGTGACTTGCAACGGTATTGCAACTTGCAACTTGCAACAGTCATTACTTCTGTTTCTGCAAGTCATAGATACGCTGATACGCTGTATGTGTGCAATACACAGACACAATCAGACACAGAATTATCACGCTGATGGATTTGATATGAACTGGGGCCTGGAGTCCTGGAATTTAAATTACAATAATATACAATAATAATTACATCACAAAGATCACAAAGCAACAGACTCAACAGACAAGCTGATACCAGTTTTGGAAATGCTTAGAGTCCAGGAATCTTTAAGTCGCAAAACCTGATATAGACAAAGACCGAGTTTGGATCCAATAGCAGCACTGAAATCGACTTTAGAAGGATCTATTTCTTAGATCTTCTTTCTCTTGGCTCCTGCTATTTGTCTTAAACTCAAAAGATAGAGGCACTGAAGAAGGAGTACCAGGACTTGCGCAAGGCTCTTGAGTCACTCTATTGTTGTTCTTGACTTCCAGTTCAGCCTTGCAATTAAACCAGACAGGAATGCAACCTATTAGCCTGACTTAAACTAAGATACTGTGATCCAATGTGGGCAAGATTCGGAAGATCCCTCCACGTTCATCTAATGATCCTGTGATGTGGTGATCATGATCTAAGACTCCTAAGACCGATGCTTTTGCTGACGAATGCTGACGACTATGTCAGAGCTGCGTTTGATCTTTGCAGCTCGCCAGGCCATGAAGGCTCGAAGTCGATTTGGCGCCTGGGTGTGCGCCCAGATCTGAGCATTCGACCGGGCCAAACTTGTTTGATATATATATATATATGTTTTTTTTTAATATTATATTTTGATTCCGTCCCATTCTGATTCTTTTCTTTTTCACTTTGAGTACAACTTCTGTCAAGAAAGAGTTGATTTGAGGCAAGACACATGATGGAGAGCGAAGACGAGGACCTATTCGAAAGTTGTGAACATACACCCTAGCTATCCTCAGCTCCTGTATCACCGGCTGAGCAAAGCGCCCAGCTTCCTGGACAGGAAACTGACGCAGAGAAAGAGGAGATCAGGGACGTGTATCGGCCTTGTTGCTATTTTTCTTCGGAGGGCCATTTATTTAGGTTTTTTTTTTTTTAGTTTAGGGAATTTTTTTTGGATTTCTTCCTGCTTACTCTATTGCCTCCTGCAGTGCTTCTCTGCTTCTTTGCTTCTATTCCTTTTTTTGTTTTTTTTGCTTTTCTTTGCTTTTTGCTTTTTTGCTTCCCTTGCTTTTCTTTGCTTTTTTGCTTTTTTGCTTTTCTCGCTTTTCTGCTTTTCTTTGCTTTTTTGCTTTTTTGCTTTTCTTGCTTTTCTTTGCTTTTTTGCTTTTTTGCTTTCCTTGCTTTTCTTTGCTTTTTTGCTTTTCTCGCTTTTCTGCTTTTCTTTTCTTTTTTGCTTTTCTTGCTTTTCTTTGCTTTTTTGCTTTTTTGCTTTTCTTTGCTTTTTTGCTTTTCCATGAGGTGTGGAGCAACATCTTCTATCCATCTATATCCACCTATATCTATCTATATCTATCTATATCTACGTATCTATATCTATCTATGTCTATCTATATCTGTATCTATATCTACATCTATGGCTGTATCTATATATCTATATACCTATATATATCATATATCAATATAATTATCTATATATCTATATATCTATATATATATCTATATATATATATCTATATATATATCTATATCTATATATATCTCTATATATCTCTATATATATATATATCTATATATTTCTATATATCTCTATATATATATATCTATATCTAGATATCTATATACATATATATCTATCTATCTATATATCTATCTATCTATCTATCTATCTATCTATCTATCTATCTATCTATCTATCTATCTATCTATCTATCTATCTATACATATCTATCTATATATCTATATATCTATATCTCTCTCTATATATATACTATATATCTATATATCTATATATATATATCTATATATCTATATCTCTCTCTCTATATATATATATATTTATATACCACCATATATCTATATATCTGTATATATCTATCTATATTTCTATATGTATATATACATATATCTTTATATCTATATATCTTTAAATATATATATATCTATTTATCTATATATCTATATCTATATATATATCTGTATATATATATATATCTACCTAAAAGGTTTGCATTATCATGCGGATGATATTCAAACCCCAAGCCAACCCTGAACCAAACCTTATATAAATAGATCTTAAACCAACTCGATGATAACATCAAATGAAACTATTGTGCATCGTTGTGCCTTAACCTACATTCCACATGTTTCCAAGGTGCATGTCGTGTAGTATATACACCTTGAGTATCACATTCAACCTAGCACCTTGCATGTGAAAATAGGTGTTTCCAATCTGCTTTGGGGGGGAGGCGCTGCGCCCTCCCCCCAATCCCCCCCTCCCGTTTTTTTTAATTTAAATTCAAGCTTGCACACATTTCAATACACTACTTTGGTTAGAATATATATATATATACATTGTATATATATATATATTGTATATATATATATTGTATATATATATATATATTGTATATATATATATATTGTATATATATATATTGTATATATATATATATTTATATATTGTATATATATATATTGTATATATATATATATTGTATATATATATATATTGTATATATATAACAACACTAACAACACTAACAACACTAACACTAGCAACACTAACAACACTAACAACACTAACGGTAACAACAACAACAACACCAACAACAACACCACCAACACCAACACCAACAACAGTAACAGTAACAACAAACAACTGTTGGAATGTCAGCCTTCAGCTCCAAAATCCTGCAAGTACTGTGAGGAATGTAGCTGTAAAATGTTGCACATACGGTGGAAATGCAGATTCCAGCTCAAAAATGCTGCAAAGAGCATGGAAAATGGACAGAACATGCTGCAAACTGTTGCAAATACCGTGGAAAATACAATGGAAAATGAGAGGTTCGAACTCAAAACCGTTGCACATACCGTGGAAATGGCAGTTTCCAGCTCCAAAATGCTGCAAATAGCATGGGAAATGGTGAGAACCGGAAATCCAAAAAAAATTCCCCAAACTAAAAAAAATAAATCCCCAAACAATTTCCTACCCTTTTTCTTCTCGAAGTTCAAAACGTACTGTATAGGCACATGTCATCATGTGTCCATTACACACACATATGTGTGTATAAATATATACACATACAATCACATGCATATATATATAAATAATTACATAATGGACTATACACGGTATTGTAAGAGCACTTGCAGATGACACTGCGGAAATGGTGCACAATTGGATTCAATGTAT